GAAGGTAGAGCATGGTTATAGGATGGCAGCATGCATACTGGGCTTGCTTGAAGACAGGACTTAAACTGCGCGCGAATCTTGTCTGACATTGTTATCATGTTTTGCACAGACAAAGGTGCCGAGAGCAGACGATCAATCTCATTCGCAAAATCATCCAGCGTCCGGCGTCCCCAATAAGCTCTCTGAAAAGCTTTCCGCCGCTTGCGGGAGGAGTCGCGGAAGAGAGATGGGAACAGAAGCATTGCCTCCAGGGCTGCAACAATGTTGGTGAAGAGTTCTTGCATCCTGTGCAGGACCTTGACTAAGGGAGCTGGCATGGTGCGGGTGTTGCGTCTACCTTTAAGAGTCTGGACAGTAGCGACGAGTGGCTGTCCAGCTTAAGGTAGGGGAAAATGAGAATATGGGGCCGTGATCAACTTTGGCTGCTCCTTATACACCGCAACCACCACCGGAAATAAACAGTCGTGAGTACGGATAAAGGCCACTTAAGTAGACAATCAAACGAAAAGTACACTCGATCGGGCCAATGAGGTGAGAATCCCCAGAAGTTCTCTTCACCAGTGGAGCAGACCAGATGTATGAGATCGAGGGTGACACCGCCACGACAAGTCACAAATCCTTGCGCAGCGTGCAGTGGACACGGTCCGTGAACCACGAGTCAAAAGACGGAGAAGACGGTAATATATCGGTGTCGTAGTGATATATCAGTGACGGAAGACCACGGTCAAGCCTGATGCCGGATTACTGTCTTCCACTTTTCTCTTTTTTATTTTCCTTCTGAGAAAAGTAGGGGAGGAGAGGAGCAAGGTGTATTTTGGATGCTGGGGCCCTCCTCTTCCTCCTGTGAGTGGAGGAGATTGAGCCAAAGTCAAACGAGTTGCAAGGGGGAGGGGGCCGGGGAGACAAATTTAGTGATGGATGGGCGGATGGATGGACGGAAGAGGGGTGAGAGAAAGGATAGATGAAGGTGGACGAGAGTGTTGATGTTGCGTGGTTGAGGAGGGGGAGGAAAGGAGGTGGGAGTCGTTTGCTGATGTGGAGTGATATTCAGTTGCTAATCAGTTGCGGGATGGTGAGTAAGTTAAAGAAGGGAGGTGAAGATGAAGGTGAAGGGATGGTCGTGGTTGTCGTGGATGTTGTTGTGGTAGCAGCAGCAACAGCAGCAGCAGCAGTCGTAGTCGTAGTCGGAGTCGTAGTCGTAATTGCTGTAGTTGTAGTAGTATCAGTAGCAGTAAAGTTAGTAGTAACTTAGTAGTAATGGTGGTAGTAGGACCGATTGATTATTCTTAGTGGCAGCGGTCAAGGTGTGGTTCGCAATGGTAATCCAAGTTGTACCGGCACTTCTAGTCTCTTAAGGTATGCGAAATCAACGCCGCGCGTGTTATCATTCCTCAGGGTACGAGGTACGCAATGCCCAAGACAGGGTAGGATGAGGGGGAGGGAGAAAGAAACGAAAATGACAGCTTAGAGACAGACAGATGAACAGGGAGGGAAGGAGGAAGGGAGGGACATATTGACCTGCGATTTTAGTATGTGTTATTTATTTATCAGGGGAAAAAGTGACTTGAAATTGTGCATTGTGAGAGAGAGAGCGTTTGCTTGTTTGCGTACTTGGGTGAAAAGTGGAAACGCAGAAGGAATGGAAGGGCAAGTGCTGTTGGTATGGTCTGGTATTGTAGGTATGGTTCGGTACTTACCACTTTTTTTTCTCCCCAACTTTGAGTCCCTGGTGGAGACAACAAATTGCTACCTTGCCGTTGGACTAGATTATAATTTGGTGACTGACAGGTTAAGGTAGTATATTATTAGTCTCACAATGGGTTGCTCAGGCTTGGCCCATGTTATACATATCCTGAGCTACTGCTCTTGGTAGTTGAATGTCTATGGGGGTTTGCAAACCTTTTTTGTCTTGTCTCGAAGGTGACCAGATAGTGTGCTGTAATTTTCTTCGTGGGATAGAACAAAGGACAAACCGACAGACAGGCGCCTCGACTAACCTTTGTGAGTTTACATAAATGTGTTTTACTTAACTACTGTGTAAGTACTACGAGAAGCTATATATACTGTACGGAGTACTGTGCAGTTCCATTCGTGTGCGGATCAGTGGATACAAAGGCGCAATCGAACTCGATCATCAGCAGTGTGACAGTGTTGCATTGGATGAAGTGGATTGATTACTACTGATCGCTCATAGATACGTACTGTTCGAAAACCGTTTTGGTATCTCCAATACCAGTGACCTGTCTCTCTTGGTTGGGGAAAAAATCGATGGACAATCGATGGACAATTGATGGATGAGGATTATGCTGACACACGATCGGATGTCCTCCACATACTCACATTCTCCGATGGATTCTCGACAGTGGCACTTTACAGGTATGGAGGTCGCAATGTGGCTGCTGCGACGATTTCGGCAGGCCGAAACCCTGGCTCGGAAGTCGACAGGTTATGATGACGATGACAATGTCGTGGGTATTGTTGAGGATGTTGAGTTACAACAGAGACCCGGCCATTGGCCAATCCATCTTTTCTGGGTGTTCGTTCTTCTTCTGCTTCATTTCGAGATTTTGCCCCTCATTGGTATGTGACACTTTTAGTCAGGACTCAGGAGAAGTAGTTAGTTACTGTACTCCGTACAATAAAGACCACTGGCGGGTGCAACGGTGGTAGTCGGGCTAATCATCCCGTCGTGTAGTGTTACACTGGCTACGGAGTAGGGATCCCTCGGTTTCCTCCCCCGGTGGGCCATCCATCCATCCATCCATCCACCCTCCCTCCCTCCTCCTCCCAATCATCACCCCTACTACCTGGTATTGTATCAGTTATCAGTTATAAGCTACTAGGTAGTTCTCTTTGCATGATCCTTTCCAATCTCATCGACCCTTCTCCGGGCCCTCCTCTCTTAAGTCTCCGTTGAACAGCCCCAATCTCGTTCCTCTCTCTCTTGAGAAAGTTCTGGTTTCAACATACACCTCCCCAGTTACCTCCAATCCCATCCCACCGCCAAATTCGAACTTTGCTCTGATTTCACTTTCCTCCTGCATTCCAGATACCCTGCCAAGACACCGAGACACGTACTGCCAAGGGTTGAGCCCTGCCAGAGTTCACTGGAAGTCTTGAACGACTTTCATCGTGCTTGGGATGAATCGAATGCAGCTCAAGAGTAGCAAGGGCGGGAAGTCCTGGTTCAGATGCAGCTGACTTTCATCGTTGCTGGTGTCAGGTCACGTCTGCTGGCCGATGCTCAAGTGCTCGTCTTTACCAACGCAATGCTCGACACTCCATAGTAGGCAAGCGTCCTCGTGTCCCCGCTGTAATTTAGATATCAACCTCAACATGCCACTATCGGGGCTTCGTTCACACTATTCACTCAGACCAAGACAATAATGTGCCTGCCCATCAGTGAGCTTCATGGTAGTCAAGCAGATATGGATGAAAATAAGTTTCGACGACTAAAAAGGATCGTTATCCCGAGTGTTGCTTCCCAATCATGCCATCAGATATTGCAGCGAAACGCAATCTCCAGGTTCATGCTGGGCAAGCAACCGTAACCATAGAGATTTTGCTGCCCACGTATACCCAGGAAGATGTAACCATACTTATCCATGCTTCTGAGCAGATCGCTTCATCCACGATCTAGGCCCCCTGCAAGGCGTTCGATTTATGGCGTAAAGCAAGCAGCCCTCTGGATTAACAGAAACCTCTCGTGCAATATCTGCATAAGACGAGAGAAGCATTATTCGGCCATCGCGGGAATTGAAGAATCAGCTTTGTTGCTTGACTGGTGGCCATAAGTCACATACATCGTCGGCGACGTGAGCGTAGGATTGTCTTTGATTAGTGCTTAAAGCCTTCTGGCGGTTGACAACCATCCCTTGTCAAGGTCTGTCTCCTCTCAACTAGTTCTGTATGTAGCGTATCAAGGTATCTGGGAACGTCGACTGCAGTAACACGGGCGGCTTGCACAGGTATCTGCTCAGCTTCGGCTTTGAAATCTCTAGAGGATAAGGATATATCGGTTCCAATTCAGGAAGGCGACCATGGTTCTGCGCATGTTGATGCCCGAGGCTTTCATATGGGCGTGTTCTCTTCTGTCCAAGTGGCTGCCATATATCCGCATGTAAGTGTACAGGTTACCACGAAGAAACTTCTCCTGAATGGGGACTTTGCCTTCCAACATATGACCAGGCGGAATGAATTCATGAAGAACTGGTACAGATTCCGTTGCAACTTTCCTCAGCCTTATCCCCTAATCCTCATCGTCGTTTCACCGCATGCCGGACTGACTGATGTGAGCAGTGATGGACAATTAAATTACGGATGAATCTGGGATTGCCAGGTGCTTGGCCAGCTTTTCCAGACTAGCCTTCCATCATTCATAGTGACCCATAAACTCCGGATAAAGTGAGGTACTTTGTACATGATCATGTATCTCGACAACGGAAAGACGGAAGTCAAGGCTGCAATTGTGGCAGTGGTTAGGTATCTCCCACTCGAACAATTGAAAGGACCCTGGTACCTACTCAGCAATGCCACCTTCATCCCGAACAATTTTGTTTGCATCGGCAGTTTCCTCTTTGAGCTCTCGATCAGACTTATTTGAGCCGAGTTCATAGTGGCATGGATTTCCATCACAGACCGTCATATTCTCCCCAGGCGAGAAGCCCGACGAACCATTTGCGCAGCATTCTTGGTCATTTGACCATCGCGGCTCTGGCTTGAGCTCGGGTTGCTCAGAAGCCTGTAACTTTGAGCGGATGACAAGCTTACAGGGGACTCGTGGCAGGGTCCCGGAGACCAAGTGAGAGCAAGCGCTGGTTTTGTATGGCGCCCTTCGGCCAACGTCATGTCTTTGTTTAGGTGCTGAGCTTCAAAGATAGGAGCTGGCCAACTGAACGAATGGTTGCGGCTGTTCTCGATATTCACTATCACCTGCTCTGTTTTCAAACTACTGCCGCTGACACCCTTCTTTGATTTCTAGCAAGCTTGATGACTGGTCCATGGCGAAACATCCCTCTTTTCCCTCGCTTTTCATTGACTCCGCTCAGGAGAAGACTCCCAGTGTTGGAACTCTGAGGCCAACTGCACCGGGAAATGGAGGGGAAAAGGACGAGGGGATCTCACACATGGATTGGATTTATACATCTTGCACCTTGCCCTGTCGAATGGCTGCAGGTTCTTTCAGGGTTCATCTCTGAAGGCACAAATCTCTGCACTGAGGCAATCTTCCCTTTCTGACCTTCAAAATGAGTCTCTGTATTTTTTTAGCACAGGCTTTCTAATTGGCATTTTTGTGGGGGTACTTAGCTCGTGCCCGACACTTTTGGCTAACTGCTCGCTCGAGTCTACTCCAGCTCCCACTTTGCTTTCAATCTTGACAAATGCTACCCATGAACCCGGAGTGAATGGCCGGGTCTCAGATCTCGCTCGTGCCATACAAGCAAGGCTTGCAGGAAGTATCGCTCCTCCGATTACTGGGAATGACTCCCTGCCCCTGGTCTGGAAGATAATCGAGAAGATCTTCGCCAGTGGTCGGCAATTCACTCTTGTCGATCTCGCACTCAAGATTGTCACTTCAGAACTTTTGTCACAGGACATACTCATGGAACTCAATCAGTATCAGACCTCTCGACTAAACTTGCTTCACAACAGAAATCCAATGCTAGCATATCAACCGCTATATCCTAGGAAAGCTGCTCAAGATGTACCCTATAGTGTCGCAGAGGAGACTCTCAGGGCCGCTATTTACATACAAGACGATCTTACCAGGAGAAAAGGTGAACTCAAACCCGTTCTACTCGTTCCTGGCTCCCCCATTCCTGCCGGATCAATGTTCCAGTCCAACCTCGCAAAACTACAAAAGGCCATACCAGAAGTAAGCATGGCCTGGGTTAATGTCCCTTCCGCTTCTCTAGGGGACGTCCAAGTCAACTCGGAATATATTGCATACGCGATCAATTACATCACCGCCCTCTCGGAAAGTAATCTGACGGTGATAGCATGGTCTCAAGGAGGTCTCAATACCCAATGGGCATTCAAGTATTGGCCGTCTACGCGCGCTGTAGTTACGGATCTGATTGCGATCAGTCCCGACTTTCATGGGACTGTGGAGACAACACTTGTTTGCCCTATCCTCTCGAACGTTGTCTGCACTCCTGCCATTTGGCAACAAGCGTGGCATGCAGGCTTTGTTCGAGCGTTGAGACGCGTCGGAGGCGATTCGGCCTATGTGCCCACGACGACTGTCTATTCCTCATATGATCAGATTGTGCAACCGATGAGTGGAAAACAAGCTTCTGGGATTCTTCAGTTCCCCGGTAGCAGATGTGTCCAACAACCATTTGCAGACTATCTGCCGGGATCGGCCCGGCGGTGGCCTCTATACCCATGAAGGAGTTCTCTATAGTTCTTTGGCATGGGCGCTTATCGCAGATGCGCTTCAACATGATGGCCCGGGGGATCCATCCCGACTCAACCTCACGAATGTGTGCGGGCAATGGCTCCCACCTCAGCTAGGCATGGAAGATGTGAAGCGCACGGAGGGGTTGCTGCTGATAGCTGTGGCCGAAGTTCTCAAATACAAGCCGAAAATATTTCAGGAGCCTGAGGTTGCGGACTATGCTTGGTGAAGGGCCGGTCGTGCGCCACAGCTAGTGGGCCTCTCGATGACCATTTTATCCTTTGAGCATGAAAGATTTGAAAGATTGATAACATTGTGAAAGGGTTGATATTGATAAGGCTTCTACTGTGCGTTTTATCTTAGCGCAATCTGTGCCAATATCAAATGTCAGACGGTGCGCCAAGGGGCAAGTGGGACAGCTGGAAGGATTCGTACTAGTTGTGCCTCTACAGGTTCCACTCTTCATAGGAATGAGACCGTGAAGCAGCCTTGAAGGATCCAGCCCACGTCGTTATGTTCGTCTAGGCTCCAGCCCTCATCTCTCTGTGAATTATACATTGTATATTTGTAAGTATATGCGCTGCAGAAGACTGCGAACATTTCGTTTTTGTGATTGGCTAGATTATTGAGAGAGCAGCCGGTCCGTAAGGCACTTGAACCATCTCCGATCTCGGCGGACCAGTGTCTCTTCTTCAGTTCCGTCAAGTTTGGGGCATAGATCAGCCGTCAATGGTCAAGTAGACGAACTCAAGTGTCATTTGCTTGCCCGAATTGAGCGAGAACCACAAGTTCACAACCAAGTGACTCGAAGCTACTGTATGTGTAAGTACTTTCGTGTTTTTCTCTGAAATCAGATTTTGGCAATTTAACCATTATGGTGCCAAGACCTTTAAAACGTCACGAATGGACAGCGTACGTACCGAGTACGAAGTACAGGGACATGTAACCAATGTCCACGGTCCGATGTCCGATGTCCGATCTCAGCAAAGAAGATATCGCCGTACGGGTGACAACTTAACTCTTAACCACGTATATGAAGTAGTAAATCGATTCTATTTGCCCTTCCATAGTAGTATGAGGTACTACTCATACGTACAGTAACTTACAGTCTACAATGAATTCAGTTGCTGGTTGTACATAACTGCCCCAGTCCGTTTCGTTCCAGTGTTCCATTCCGCACCGGCGGTGACAGTCGACGAATCTGGATGGATTGTGGTGCCTCAGCTCCACTTTCCGAAACGCCGCCAAGAGTGTCCGCCTCGCTTGATCGTCAGCGTCCATCTCAGCCATTACGTTGTCACTGACCTTTCCTGGGCAAGCTTGATGGAGTGTTTTCCAGACTTTGCGGGCTTCTAGCCTATTGCAAGGAAGCGTTGTCCCCGACCACATCCCGTTTCCCTTTTCAGAGTGGTGGTTTTCACACTCTCCTGCTGGCGGACACACTGCTGCTACGTACTACTCCTGTTGCCGTACTCCATACGGGGGCGAGTACGTACTCCATCCAGTCAGTACGAGTAAATGAATAGGTCCTCTTTATTCACACTCCAAAGATGGAACTGTTTCTTCTCCTTGCCCTCCCCGCTCGGCAGCGTCTCCGATGATCACCCTCGACCGATGCGAATTTGGCTCTGAGATCGAGTGACGACCGTGCTGGTTGATTTGATCGTTTCTCCTTCGTCTGCCGCGTGCTTTTCTCTTTTGTTTTCTCTCTCTCCCTCTCTCTTCTTGGCCCTTTATTCTCGAGTTCATTAGTCGTTGCTTATTCCCCATTCAGTTGGTTGTATGTCGCCTTTGGAGGGGATCATTCCTCTCCCGGTCACTCCTTCAAAATGTTATTCCTCTGGTTCTTGTCATTGTTTGCTCTCCGAGGTGTAGTCGCGAAAGCCGAGACTGATAGTGATTTGATGTCCTTTGTCACGGTAAGTGATGAGCAAGGGTGCTAACATCGACCATCGTCTGTCTCTAACTGGCTAACTAACAATCAATCAGCTGCCGGAGGTCAGAGCATTAAAATTCGATATTGCCTACAACGATCGCCCGGCTGTCAGTCCGGGCTATTGGTTCGTTGCGCCATACGGCGTGATTGATCCAGAAGCACCCACGAAGCAATGGAAACCTTGCCAAGTTGGACCCTACATTTATGACGCAGATGGTGTAAGTGCTCATCTTCATGCTTCTTTCTTCCCTTCTTTTCCATCGCTCCTTGAATCCGTCTCTCTGCTGTGTCATTTCTCTGTGACCTGTTACCTGTTACGACAAAGCGGAACGCTCGTCTGAAATTGCCTCGACACTATGGAGCACTAAGCTTATCAAGTGTGGATCATCAGGTTCTCATCTGGGCCGGATCTTGCATGTTTGACAACCGCAACATATTCGATTTCAAGGCCGTGAACAATATTGACAACGAATCTCACCTTTCATTCATTCTTCAACATGGCTACAACTCCGGTGCAGCGGACAAAGGATATGGTTACATCCTCGACCAGCATTATGAGCCGGAGAATGTAGTTGCAGTGACCAACGATCTTGGGACCTTCAATATGCATGAGTTCAATGTCCTCGACGGCGGGAAGACAGCACTAGCTTGCGCCTACCGGAATGAATACGTGGATCTAGGAGACCTTGGCCGGCCAAACGAGTACGGTTGGATAGTCACGGGGGGACTCGTCGAGCTGGACATCGCGACAGGCGAGGTCTTGTTCGAGTGGAATTCACTAGGATACATTCCCATTCATGAGTCTGTCAAAGTAAACGCCGACTGGCCGGCATCCAATGAACCTGGCTGGGATTATGTGCATGTGAACGCGGCAGACAAAAACGCGGCAGGTGATTATCTGCTGTCTGCCCGATTCACGAGCACGATCTACTTGATATCCGGCGAGGACGGACGCATCATTTGGCGTCTGGGCGGAAAGTATTCTGATTTTATCCAGGATTTCACCTTTTCCAAGCAGCATCACGCGCGGTTTGTAGATTCCAACGCCACGCACACGACTATCTCTTTTCTGAATAATGCGTCTGATGAGGCGGAGAAAGAGGAGACGGTCTCAGCTGCGATGTTCGTCCAGGTCGACACGACAACCATGACGGCCCGCCTACTTGATCGGTACGACCGGCCGGACGGCGACCTAACCAGGCTTCGTGGCAGTGTTCAAAGGTTGCCCAACGGCAACGTCTTTGTTGGTTGGAGCGAGCGGGGTTACCAGAGCGAACATAGTCCCGACGGCAAGGTACTGATGCAGGCTAACTTCGCATCCACGCGCTTCTCTTCTTATCGGTCGTACAAATTTCCCTTCGTGGGTCGGCCTAGCCAACCACCGGACGTTGTGGCATCGGTCTACGGGACAGACGAGACGGATATGGCAACCATCTTGCATGTCAGCTGGAACGGTGCAACGGATGTTGCATCCTGGAACTTCTATGCACGCGTTGACCGGCAGGGTCTTCCGGTGCTGATCGGCAACACCTCCAAATTCGACTTCGAGACCATGTATATCGCCGAAGGCTACCTGGACTGGGTATCAGTGGAAGCAGTGGACGGGGATGGCAACGTTTTGGGCACATCAGAGATCCACCGGACGCATACACCGCCGAACTGGCGCCTGGTCGGATTCCAAGGCGATGCGAAGCCCACGCCGGACGATCCAGCAAATCTATATGGCAAGCAGAAGGCGCCAGAGGAGGACGTGGAAGAGGTCGATGAGGCATATGAAAAGGCCAAGGAGGAGGCCAAGGCCATCAATATGGCCAATGAGGTCATTCACGGGGTGGGTGGCCTACTGATTTTCATTTTGGTGGTGTGTTCCGTCGGCGGGCTCCTGGCGGGCAGCTACTGGGTGCTTAAGCAGCGTCGTATGCAGGCATACTATGAGGTTCCAGTGGTGGAGGATGGTTAGCAAATGCATTGATTTTGAGCGGGCAATATTGTTCTAGAGAGACATATATAACTTACCTATTAGTACATACATACTAGATATGTGTATATATAAATATAAATATCAATATCAATATCAATATCAATATCAATATAGTTTCAATATACCTGAATGTGTATAGTCCATCCTAATAAGCTGCCCGTATTAGTTCAATATTTTTAGTACTGTACATACCTACGTACAAGGTGTACTTACCCACGTGGCGCTAGTCCGCAAACAGCCTCGTCAGCCCAAAACGGGCTCAAACCAATCAAACCAACCAAACCTGAACTGAACTGCACTGAACCTTGCAGACCAACCTTTTGCCTACAATCAATCAATTGCAACTTAACTTTGTAGTTACTCGATATCTAACAGCATCATTGACTCAGTAATACAATCCATTGCTGCTTGCTCCGATACATCCCCCTCTCTATTTCGTTTCCTCCTGCGCTTCTCATCATCCTCATCTCAATCTAAATCTCATGTCGGCCCTAATCCGGACTGTTCCTCGCCCACTGCGTGTCTCTTCTCGGGTGCTTCTCCAGCAACAGCAACAGCTCCAGTTGCAACACCGCCGCCCCTATTCCGCCCCCTCCTCTCCCTCGTCCTCTTCCTCTTTTTCCTCTTCCTCCTCCTTTCCTTCTCCCTCTTCCACTTCTTCCCCCCATCCTTCCCCTCAATCCACTCAATACAGCCGTTCTCAATTCAAAGTCCTTCCGTTCTTGATCATTATTGGTATCGGATCTGGCTCCTTTATTCTACTCTCAAAGTCCCGTACCGGCGTCCATAAACCCAAGTCATCCGAGACCGTTTAGATTAAGTGAGTAAATCGATTGTCGTTGTACAGTACCTTCAAGCACCGTGCTATATTTACCCCTCTTTCCCGCTTCAGTCCCCCACCAAAACAAACTAACATTTTTGTCTTCTACCTGATTTACAGGACTCGAACCCCTCCGCGCCTCCCGCCCCCCACCTTCGCCCCCGCCGCTCCCTTAACAAAAGTCTCTCCATCTTATTCTCTTTTGGGAGAAACCAATCAATCTCATTCGCCTCCCAACGAAAGTCAAATACAACGAAGGAAAAAAAAAACAAAAAAAATAACGAATCCCATCCTTATCAAGATGTCCACCCCGCGCTTCTCCCCCACCACTACAACCGTCGTCTTCGTCCTCGGCGGCCCCGGCAGCGGCAAAGGCACGCAGTCTGCCAACCTCGTCCGCGACTACGGCTTCACTCACTTGTCAGCCGGAGACCTGCTCCGCGCCGAGCAAGTCCGCGAAGGGAGCCAAGCCGGCGAGCTCATCCGCACCTACATCCGCGAGGGCAAGATTGTGCCCATGGAGATCACCGTCAAGCTGCTGTCCGACGCCATGGCCGAGACCCTGGCCGCCGGCACGAACCCGGCCGCCAGTGCAGGCAGCAAGCCTCGCTTCCTGGTGGACGGCTTCCCGCGCAAGCTCGACCAGGCCGTCTTCTTCGAGGACACGGTCTGCCCCTCCGAGATGACCCTCTTCCTCGACTGCCCCGAGGAGGTGATGGAGGCCCGCCTCCTCAAGCGCGGCGAGACCAGCGGTCGCGACGATGATAACGCCGAGAGCATTCGCAAGCGCTTCCGTACCTTTGTCGAAACGAGTATGCCCGTCGTCAAGGCCTTTGCGGCCCAGGGTAAGGTGGTCTCCGTGAAAGCTACCGGCGATGTCGGAGACGTCTATGAGAGGATTCGGGCGGGGCTCCGCGAGAAGGGTCTGAACCCCCTGTGAGTTTCGTTAGGAGAATGGGCGATGGGTTGCAGAGATTCCAGGACTTGTTTAACAGTCCCTTGGATGATGATATGTGATTGTGGTCGATGGTGTCAGCGTTCTGAAGTACACATAAATTCATATCTATTTCCACCGCATATATTTTTGGAAATTCGATCTTGTTATAGATTTTTTTGCTGGGCTGACCGGCCTGATTCTACATTTTGTTTTGGAGTTTTCTGCCCCTGATCTCCGCCATTGCCTCCGTAAGGACGCACAAATCCCCCAGGTGAGGTCCCTCTGCCATGGGGGGCGGAGATACAACAAGAAAGGTCGTCTTGACGGTTGATTCATCCTCCATGTTCTAGGTACAGCACACCACCCCCTGACATCACAAGCGATCAAACCGTCCATCTCGATCCGACAGTGAAATAGAACAATTCTAGCGTTAAACACAAATCAGTCACAAACACCCAATCCAAAGACACGAAGAATTAGCGTTAAACACCGCTGCCCAGCCATGACACAGAGATACTTTTAAGTCTTTTTTTTTCTAGCTCGTCCCTAGCTCCGTCTGCGCGGTTTGAAGGGTGTGGTATCTGGTAGATAGTAGGTCGAAAGACAAAAAAAACAAGGTATGTAGGTCTCATCATCAGTCATTGATCCTTCCCCGCATTTCCGTCCTTTCATCATTTACTCAGCCACAGCTTCCACGGGGGCACTAGCGACAGGAGCGGCCGGAGTCGAAGACTGGTTCTGGTTGTTGTTGTTGTTGTTGTTGTTGTTGTTGTTGTTACCCTGCTGGCGACGACGGTCACCCGACTTGCCCTTATCGGAGGACTTGCCCTGAGCAGCCTCCTCAGCCGCCTGGGCCGCCTGCAGCCCCTCGCGCACGAAGCGCTCACGTTCGGAACGGACAACATCCAAAACGCGTTCCAGGCTACGGCGCCAGACCATCAGGCGACCTTGCACCTCAGCCCACTGCTTCTCACCGAAGACGCGGTAAGTGGCGCGGTGGACAAGGAACTCGGAGCGCAGCTGCGAAAGCTTACCCTCGACGAGACCAGCACGGATGGTGTCAATGACCCACTTCTCGACATCCTCGTCCGACACCCGCAGAGCACTGGCGATTGTGGCATAGGGCAGAGAGCGGGAGGGGGTAGTAGCGGCCAGCGAGGCCAGGGTGAGCAGGCGCATCTTGGTCTGCAGAGCATCGCCGGCCTCGGCCAGCACACCACCTGAGATACCAGTCAGAGGGCTGGTGGCAATCAGGGCCTCGTAAGCGTCAAGGGTGTCGGCGGTGAAGATCTCAAGCAGCTCGAAGAGGGTGCTGTCGCTGGCGCGCAGGGCCTGAACGGCGTCGGAAGCGGTCAACGGAGTGAAGTCAAAGACGGCGGGAGAGGTGAGCGCAGAAGTCAGGGCACGAACGGCCAGATCGCGGGCTTCGGAACTGGAGGCCTGGGCTGCGGGAATAGTCTGCAGGGCTCGGACGACATGGGACTGGGAAAGCTCGGCGTCACCGGCAGCTTGAGCGGCATCGGCGATGGCGAGGTGGAGGCGCTGGGCCTCCTCAGCCTCGAGCTCCCAAGCGGCGAGCCAAGCAGGCAGCTGGGAGGTCAGCTGGGGCTTAAGGGCGTCGAATGCGACCGAGGCACCGGCCTGGCGGATGACGGCAACGATGGCCAGAAGAACGTGGTAGCGGCTGGAATCGGTGGGAGAGAGGGTGTTGAAGATGGTGGACAAGATGGAGATGGCCAGGGAGGGACCGAACTGGGGAGAGGCGGTAATGGGTTTGGCGAGGTAGGAGCAGATGCGGGAGAGGAACATGTCCGGATCGGAGGCCTGGTGAACAAGGTGGACGAGGAGGTTGTAGGCGGAGATGATCTCTGGTTTGCGTCAATTGCGTCCATTTGTCATAAGTCTTTTGTGTCTTTCTTCGTTCCGCAGCAACAACCAAAGAACTGCTTACCCTTCTCGGGGGCCGCATTCAGGACGGCAGCGGCGGAGACCAGCTTCTTCAGAACCTCATCGCGCTGCTTGCGATCAGGTTCGGTACCAGACTGTTCCTGCTGGCGCAGAGGTTCCAACAGTGGGGCGATGTCGGCCTGGAGACTGGACGCGGCGGCGTCGGGCTTGCGAAGAGCATCGATGTACTGGGCGAACTCATCGGCGAGTTCGGTGAACGAGCCCTCAATGAGGAGAGTGGTGGAAGGAGCGGGCATCGTGGTGGTTTATTAGAAGTCGATGTCGAAAGATCGATCAATGGTTGTACGGAGAGGAGGAGGTTCGTACTTTGGGGAGAGGGGAGGGGAGGGGGTGGGGGAGGGGGAGAGGAGGAGAGAGAGAAAAGAAGAGAGAGGGGAAGGGGAAAGGAGAAGACCGAAAGAAAATTGAGATACAGGAGATAAGAGGGGGGAGGAGAAGGAGGGGCGTTCCACCAGAAAGGAAACAAGATCCAAAAGAGAAGCAGAGGGAGAAGGAGGAGGAGGAGGAGAAGCGAAAGAAGCGAAGATGGAAAAGGAAGGGAAAGAAAGAACTTACAAGCAGGCAGAGATTGGGCGGTGGAGAAAATTCCATTCCGTTGTGGGAAAAACTCTTGGCGCCGCTTCTACCATCAATAAGTTACTTGGAATACTGTGGGATGCTCCTCCGTCTACAACAATACAACAACAACAACAACAACAACAACAACAACAAAACTATTATACACTTAAAAAAAGAAAAGAAAAGAAAAACGAATCAGCTCAATGGCGGATTAAATTAATGTGCAAGGATCGACCCCTCCTATGGGCGCCCAGCGGGGAATAATCGTATTTGACATCAAGTCGTAGAACATACAACCACCACAACAACCATCACCCCTTCCTCCCCTTGAAACATGGTATTACCACTACACAGACTCGGAGAAATGTCTTGGAAGGCAGAATTAGCACTCTAACCCCACACCCACAGGCATCAAAATATGCGAACGGTCCCAATCAGTTGGTGTTCGTTGACCCGCTTGCACATAACACGCCCCTTCCTTCGGGTCGTTTTCGCTCTCAAGTCTTTCACTTACAACACCAGGCGCAGTCCCACAAACAATGCGGTGGCCAACAGACCGGTGGCATGCTCCTGGGCCAAACGAACGGCAGCGTTGGCCGTGGACGAGCTGCTAGTGCTGCTCGAGGTGCTGGTCCCGGTAGCCGTGGTAGACTTGTCAGAGCTAGTGCTGGTGCTAGTAGCCGTAGTCAAGCTGGTGGCGCTCGAGGTGGTGGACGAGGTGGTCGAGGCAGCCGACGCATTCAGGGTGCCACAGGTCTTCTCATAGTCCTTGCAGTGCTCTTCCTCAGTCAAGCTGGACGAGTTGCTAATGCACTGGGCATAATTGGCCTGACAAACGAAGAAGGGGACGGTCTGCGCATAAAGCGACACGTCGGCGGCGGAACCGTTGGAGCAGATGCAGGAGAAGTCCAAGGTAGTCTGTCGCGACATGGTGAGCGGTTCGTTCTCTTCAATTGGTTCGGCTATGCGCTTACCGAGTCGCAGGAGTTGCTGGTAGCGACTCCACCACAAATCTCAGGGCAAGAGTTGCGCTCCGCGGTACACCAAGAGGCTAGAATCAACGAGTCAGTGAAGGGTGAGGAAGACGACATCGCATACTAGCATACCGCGGGTGCCAGAGGAGATGGCGTTCAGGTCGAACCCATCAGGTAGAGTGTAGTTGCCGGTAGAAGCGGCGGTGGCCGAGGCGACCAGACCGAGGGCGAAGAGCGAGGAGGCCAACATGATGAAAGTGATTAAGTAGATATTCGAATGGGCGAGGGTAGGATGGTGATGTGTATATCACAGTCGCAGTAAAGAGACGTGCAAGGTAAGAAGAGCTGGTATGGGGTAATTGTACGTAGTAGAAGTTATAAAGAGACGCTACTATTCTGGGGAGGGGAAGGGGGAACGGCAGAAGTTTTACAAGGAAGAAGAGGAGAAGAGAGGAGAAGAATTGATGATAAGAGAGCAGGAAGAGAGGAGAAAGGAAGTTGAAGGAAAGAAGCTAAGCCAAGAGGGTAAAGCAGTAACAGCAGCAACAGCAGCAACAGCAGCTACCGCGACAGCTTCAGCTACAGCTATTTACAGCAGTCCGGCGGTAATAATAATAATGCTATTAACAGGTTGGAGAGGAGAGGAGAGGAGAGGAGAGAAGGTGCCACAGCCAGTTTAGATCCATCCTTCCTTCTCCAGTCTTTCTCTGCATACCTGAGTTACCGGTAGTGATTTAAGTTCCAAGTTACTCAAGTTACTTACTTAGTTTGTGTATATGTTTTATTTTTTTTCAATTTAGGTTTCCTAATTCCCCCTCCTTTTCAAGATTTTTCGTGTTTTTGTTTTGTTTTGTTTTGTTTTTCTTTTTGTTTTTCTTTTTTGGTTGCTTTTCGATATCCCCTTTTTCTACATGCACACGCGCGCTGCTCTTCTTTTCCTTCAATTCTAGTTCTAATTTTTCAATCGTGGTCTTCATTGATGGTTCCCGCATGATCTGGAAACCAGATACTTACACCCAGATTACTAGCATTACGATCAATAAGAACCAGACTGGGGAATTTTCGGTGCACTAGTGAGTAGTCTTAGATGACTAGTCGACTCCGTTGTCAATGATGAATGAGGAGATGGAGCCAGCCCTTGGCACTCACTGGATTCATTCCCATTATTGTCCGGCGGGAAATTATTAGTATGGCTGGTGCCTTGTTTTTACGCTTTCTAGTTACTGATTTAATTGGTCAAGGCTACCCTAGGATGCGAGGGGAGCTTGGTTCGAGTTGAAATGAAATGAAACGGGCGAACAAAAGAGAAACTCGTTCACTGCCACTAAGTAGGCCGTGCGTGCAATGCGCAAGATGGAACTCCTTCCTGCAGCTGTGGCGGGGGAAGGGGAAAGGACAGTCTCCCCTATTCTCTTTGGGTTTCAGTTTGTTACCCAGTAAGTATACATAGTGTCTTGTCTTGTCTCCCTGGCTTTGGGCCAGGAATGTTGCCCAGCCCAGTGGTATGGTATGAATAATGAAGAGAGGTTGGAGGTTGGTGGAACCACTGCAAGTGAGTGCGAGGTTGAAAAGCAGAAGGAAGGCCCAATTGAGTTTGGGGGCCTTGGTTTAGGGCCGGCACTAAAGAGTTTGTTCCTGCCCTGCTGCCACTCAGTAGACTCGGTAGACTCGGGCTCAGTCGCTCAGTTGCCAATAATTTGGGTAAATTATTTGAATGGAAAGACATAGCTGCCCACTCATCATGGGAATAAAAATGGAACTTCAAAAGTGATGCCAGTGAAAGTGATTTGCTGTTACAGTTCAGAGAGGTAGTACGTAGTACAGTACCATGGCAATAAAAGAGGGACTGAGGTGTAACTACAGTAGATCACCCGAGGAGTTCCGTAGCCGAGGATCCAGAGCAGAAGCGAACCACTCCGTAGAGAGAGAGAGAGAGAGAGAGAGAGCGAGAGATAAAGGGCAAACAAAACAAACTACCTAATACTGTACAATACTGTACTGTACACAACCAGATAGATATCTTATCCCAAATATAAACTGTAATATACACCTCACCCATACCTGACCATAACTAGAAGAATCCCTCCTCTTATCCAGATAAGAAGAATACTTTCTGACATCCAATCCATCCTCTTCTCTGTCGCATCAACTAACTTCGGGGTAGATTAATTAATACTTCTTTTCTTTCTCCTTTCCCCTTTCTTCCATATCCCCAGATCCTGACCCACGTCATGTCCCCTTCGATATCCATCCTCAATCAACCACATCCCCCCGCCCTCGAACCATTTCGGGCGGCCGTTCCCCCGGTGGTGATCCGGTTGCTGCATCATCCCGACTACTTTCCCATCCGCACCTGGTCCCGCATTTTCAAATCCGACTCAGGTGAGGATGGCTATTTTGCCAGTACACTGGCCTCCCCATTGACGATTCCCCATGTCTGCACCCTTCGTCGCCAACCGGAGCTGCTCGCACCCCTCCCTGATACTGCCCCCGTCTGGCCCGCTCCCAACTCGGTGTCTCGAATTGAGAACCCAGATCTCTACTTAGTCCTGCAGCTAGCCACCCCAGGGGTTTCCGGTCATCCCTCGACCGCTCATGGCGGTCTCTTGGCGACCTGTATCGATGAGGCCATGTCCTATGCCGTTGCATTGCACGCCCCCGAGACAGGCGCCGCCGGGGCTCTCTCCGCCCACCACCCGCGCGGCATGCTGTACACTGCCCAGCTTGACATTCGTTATCGCGTACCCGTCGCCGTCCCGGGCTATGCGCTTGTCCAGGCCAAGGTATTGGCTCGGGTAGGTCGCAAGTTCTGGGTGCATGCTCAAATTCTGCAGCCAGGCGAGACGGCCGAGGACCCGCTACGCGTGACAACCGATGCAATTGCCTTTTGGCTTCAAACGAAAGCAGCCTTGTGAATCGCGTGGCGTCTCAGGTGCCATCTCACAGAACTCAAGGCCTCGCACAGCGCATAGAGCCTGTCGATAGAATGCGATCCCTTGCGATTTTCCTGCATATATTGATGCTAGCTAGATAGATTTATGTATATCTCTTCATTTGTCTATATACCTTTACTGAAGATATAGATGCTTTATCTATTGATATACACACACTCGAGACCCCTTCAAAGACCTCTACAACTTCGGCTGACGTCCTAGATTGCGGCTCGCGCTCACCACCAAGCCCACCTGCGTCGCCACGGCCACCACCTGCCCCGCTGCATCCATTACGGTCACCCCCAGGTCCGTCCGACCGTCCCGCACCGACACCGTTTGCACTCGACTGTACAACCAGGCCTCCCCCGTAGCTGGCAGCCGCTTCTTGAAATCGATGTTCAAGGCCACCGTCGGATACCAATGCCGACCACCGGCCTCGCCGTCGCCTGCTGCCGTCGCAGCCCTCTGATCCAGCCCCGACAACGCGAGGGGAAAGGTATCAGTCAGGTACACCAACGCTTCGTTCGACCAGCGCGCCGTCTGATCACCCTCCGGTCGGAATCGAGCCCACTGATCCACAGCCGCCATGGTCTTGGGCTGTCGGGGACCGTACAAATCCACATGCTGCGTCGCGCGCCGGAACTCAGGAAACGGCAGTTTGATCCGCTCCCACTCGCCGTCGCGCCCTGACCCCCCCAACGCCACCAGATCGACACCTCCATCGGGCCGCGACCCCCTTGCCGGCATTGGCAGGGGCATCCAGCCCGTTGGGGCCGTCAACCCAACCTCCGCATGAGCTGGACTGACTGTGATATACCCCGCTATCTTGAGCTCTTGCTCTTCCGGAGCGGCCTCCTCCGAACCGGCCCCTCTGCCCGAATTCCGGGGCTGTGTCAGAGTCACGTGAATCGTACTCGTCCGCGACCCGATCTTGACATCCTGCACGTTGAGCAAGGCAGGTCCCACCGCCGTCCGGCGCAGAAAGGTCAGTTGCATGGCAATCGGTGTGGCGGGACCACGATACTGCAGCGGATGCGTATGAGCAAAGTGTGTCAGCGCCAGGCGGTAGAGGATGGCACTCGTATAGCCTCCATGCGGCACTGTTTTGTGGTTCCTTGTCAGTGTATGGTAGGAATTATGGGACGAGAGCGAAAAAAGTGGCGTCGCTGCCGATCAACACACTCCAAACAATGGGTATGATCTCTTACCAGCTCCGATGCACCAATCCTGCCGGAGATGGGCCGAGTATTGATGTGAGTTAATGGGTTTGACTTGGATTGCGGCCTCAAAGGCGGTTCCGTGCGGAGGTGCTACCGCCATCTCGTTCATAGAGTTCGGACGCGCTCAAATCCTTCCCCTTCGTATGGTACTCAAGCCAGCAGCAAAAATTTCCAGGCCGTATGACCTGCACATAGACGTTATGAGTTGATAAAGAGACAGGGATTAGGAAATAGGGACAAGCGATAGACGAACTCTTGAGACGGGGAAGGGAAGTATTGACGGATGTCGCAATGAGCCGTGAACCTCGGCTGTTCAGCCGTAATGAAAAGCGGAGAAAAAACGCGACAGATAATGTAGGTATGGCGAGGAGCGAGTTGTACTGTACTGTACTGTATTGTACTGTACAAGCTGTATATAGCAAAGTCTTGTATTCGTCGATATGTCCGGTACATACTTCAAAAAATGTTTTGATACACTCAAATTAAAATGGGTTTCTCTAATTGACTAATTATGGTTTGCATTGACTACTCTAGAAACAAGGTCGGTCTAATAGTGAACGCCAGGATTTCCAACTCAAGGAACAATTCCAACCGATCCTCTCTGTCCTTAGCACCAGCCCATTCTAGAATTCCCTGACTGCTTTTCTAGTCTCTGTTATTCGGCTTGCCTACGAGACTGGCATAATTGTCCTTTCCATTGTAAGGTCAAGCATGGTGCTGTACGTCCACGATTAGAAGAACCCCGCGGTTGGCCGACCATCTCTTTGCATGTATCCGTGTACTCATGCCTATGCAGATGTGAAATTATTTGTCTTGCAATCGTGTCATCGTGTGCTTATGGATGTATGCGTCATCGCGTCTGTGTATTTGTATGTGCGGGTTCGCGTTGGGATATGCATGGAGAGTCATTTACGACTTGTGCTCAGCCAATCGTTCCAAGCACGACAAGACTCCTATTGAATGAGTTAGCCACTTGTCACAATCACGTGAAAGCATGCAGAGCTAGAAGCCTTACCAGTTACACCTTGGGTTAGGGTAGCCCTGGCTTCTGTGCTCCGAGAGCCCAGTGTTACCGTCACGACGTGGTTAATCGCTTGTGCGCTCTCCAGCTTATTGGCCCATCGGAATACAGGCTCGTCGTCGCGACTGTCTCCAATTGCCAACAAGAAATCAGGACGGGCCACGCTCTGATCCTGCTGGCTCTGCTTGAGACACGACCGCCACACCAGTTCCGTCGCCGACGCTTTGTTTGTACCCATCGGCTCGACCACAAGGGCTCCTTCCACGGGAATGGCATGGACGCCCTGGTTGGCACAGGCATCATTGATGTGCCCAGCGCACTCTGACGCCAGTCGTGCAGCCGCTACCTGGTCTTCCGCGGATCCGTAATGGAAGACGAGTGAACAGTGTCGCTGTTCAATCCAGCTGCCCTCAGCACGCTCCTGGTAGTAATCCAGAATCTGTAGCACCGCTGTCTTCCAGGCATCTGTCTGAGTCTTGTCCGTCAGCTTGAGCCAGGTTTCCGAGTTTGGCTCCCGCACGAAACAACCATTCTCTGCAATCAAGCCCAGACCAGTGACCAGGCGGAACAGGCGCTCCATCTCTTCCGGCATACGGGCACTCATCACGTACACCACATTGCGGGGATCGTCCGTCAGCTCTGCTAGCGTAGTGATGGCTCGCTGGGGCGTGGTCACGATTATGCTCTTGGGAGACCCCCAAGATGCAAGGGTGCCTTCGTAATCCACAATTATTAATCGACGATTCGACTTCTGATACATCTCCTCCAGTTTGTTCATCTGTAAGCGTGGCACGGCCATTATTTCACGCGACGATTGCTCGTTCCAAACACGGTTCAGGGTCTCACTGAACGACTTGACCCAGTTGGCTGTCGAGTTCTGCAGCACTGCCTGGTGCATTTGCGTCCAAACCTCCTTCCGCTCTGTTTCACTCCGCGACAGCGCCGTGTGAATCGCCTCTGCGCATTGCCGGTAATCCCAAGGATTGACCAGGAGCGCATGGTTACCAAACACAGACGCGCTACCAGTGAACTCACTCAAAATGAGCGATCCATATTTCTTGTTGTTGCCCCATTTACCGTCCTGGCAGTAGACGAACTCGTGACTAGTCAAGTTCATACCTTCACGTAGGCTTGTGATGATCAGCGCGTCGGCGAGAGAAATCAGCGCCAAATACTGAGGGAAGGCTAGGTCCTGTTTCAAGAAGACCAGTGGCTGGTGGGCCAGCGTGGAATGCGTTGAGTTAATCCGCATCGCTATGTCAGAAATGGTGGCCTCGAGCTCGGGCTGCTCGGTCGTGCTCGTCGCTACTTGAATCAAAACAACCTGAATCATCATTAGGAAACCATTATCACATGCTGAGGGACAAGCCAAGGGACGAGGAAGAGATTGGCTTATAGCCATACCTGATCACGCCATTCGGGATAAGTGTTAAGGAAAAGCTCATAACTCAACAGCTTTTGTCGGATGCCTCGAACCTGGTCGATCTTGTCACGCGAAACAATGAGACGCTTGCCCTCGTAGCGCTCTGCGATGGTTTTGATCCACCTCTCCACATCGGCTGCCCTGCGCCGCTGATCCCAGGAGGTTGGGTCAATGCCAATGGAAAACTTGCCTACATTGACGAATCGATCTTCGAGTTGAAGCCCTTCATTAGTGGCCTCTACGCAGAGGATGCGGCTACATGTCTGAAGAAAATGACGGCAGTATTCGTCCGTCTGGAATCCGATCAGGTTCGCACCGAGGATGCCCTCTAGGAGCTCCTTGCGAGGGGCCAAACAACGGAACACCTCGGAAGATGGGAAGGCAATATGCAGGAAGAAGCCAATCTGTGCGTCAGGCAGCAGCTTCCGCAGCATGGCCGGAACAAGAAGCAGGTGGTAGTCCTGAATCCATATGGAGTCGCCACGCTTCCACTTCTGGGCGATTTTCTCAGCAAAGGCTTGGTTTGTTTTGACATAGTAGATCCAAGAGTGATCTTCATATGCCTTGCTCTTGGGATTATCAGGGATTTGGTAATGGAATACCGGCCAGAGGATTGTTTTGCAGAAGTGTGTGTAGTGACCGTCAAAGTCGCCGTCGCTGACATAAACCGTCATGGACCCATACTCTTCCTCGAGCTTCCGAGCAATGGAATCCTTCGTTGATTGGGGCAGTGCATCAGTAGGCATGCCCAGCGTGCCCACCCAGACCTTGTCCTCCAACTGGCCAGCATCCGTGGCGGATCGCACAGCGTTGCGCAGTCCTCCATTGCCCTGCTCCGCAGTCTGAATGGTCCATTCAGCGTCGGAGAACGAGCTCTTCCGGCTCTGAGACCGACGGTGATCGGTAGTAGACGAGGTCGGCGGCTGCGGGGTTGTACGTATTTTCTCCTTGGCAGGTTCCGTCCCTGGCGCTATGGGTTCTTGGTGCTTAAGGATAGAAGGCGATGCCGGGAAAGCTGCGCGTGGTCGAGGCTGGTTTAAAGAAAGGGTTGAGCCCCATGCAGGTGAATGAGCTTCGCTTTCAGTCAATAGGTTTGCTTCCCGATCAGTACTGGGGAACGGGTAGCCGGAGTGCTCCAGTTCAGCCTTGGCGATGTCTGCCGCAAAAAATTGTTCATGTTCTGATGCAGGCCCAGGGGTGATTCCAGGCTTGACATTGGCATTGTTTCTCTCAAACAAGCTCACAGCCGCACTTGGAGTGGCAGCAACGCTTTGCACAGGGTTGGTCGGCGGTGGGCTAGTCGTTGTGTTGGCTTCATGATTCTGCGGGTCGTTCACATGGAAGTCTACCGTATAAGGAAGAAACCTGAAGTTCCATGGATTGTTAATCAGAACCTACACTCGAAGTTTTTGCCTAATGGAGGGGAGGCCTAGTTGACGACATACAATGAAGCAATGTAGATAGTCATGGTGACAGAGAGGGGGCGAAGTCCCCGGTGCGGCCTGGTGGGGATGAAGCGGGGGGAAGCAAGGAGAAAAAAGCTAAATGGTCATAAAATGGTAGCAAGTAATGGAGGACCGGTGATTGGGGTGGAGGTCCGATGAAGGTAAGCCAGAGCAAGTTCTGGAATAAGAAGAAAGAGGGAAACGTAGGAGGAAGTGTGAAAGAAAGAACAGAGACTCAAGATGGAAAGTGAAAGGAAAAGGATGAGGAAGAAGAGGAAGAAGAGGAAGAAGAGGAAGAGGAAGAGGACGAGAAAGAGAAGCCAGGTTTGGGTTTCAAGTTCTCATGGCTACGTCATGTGAAGTAAGTTATCAGGTAGAATTAGAAGAATAAAAAAGAGTTCATGTCACGTTTATGTAATAACTTAATAGTAACTAGTTCTTTTTGTCAAAGGAGTGGGTCTAGAGTTCTAGACAACCTTGGAAAGAGCTGGTAGTGTATGGAGTACTGTACTGCGCAATTGAACCCAAGAAGTGAAAGATAGGCAAACAACCGATTCAATTCCAGGCTGAATCTTAGTTTAGGTGCACAACTTTTCAATGGTTACCGTTTACACATCCATGGTGGTCGTTTGACTGTACTGTATGTACTTGGTTAACCAAAACCTCTCATGTACAATACATACCCATACCCTGTCCGGTATTTTCAGAAATTACGTTGTCTATCACGTGATAGCAGATAATCGCTAATCGCTGGTCCCTGCAACAGCCTTAGGCCCCCAACTTTCTTTAGTTCTGCTGGCTGCTCTTCTTTTTTTCTTGTTCTATACTTCGTACTTCCATATCGTACCACTCACCCGGCCATGCCCTTGCGGATCACCTCTGCCCCTGTCGCTGGAATCAAGAAGAACAAAAAGTCAAACTCTGTCAGGCCGCGCGTCTCACCTTTCGCCGCACATCCGCGTCGCAAAGCCACGGCCTCGTCGACAGATGCTCCCAATCCCAACTTCACAGATGATTATGATCAAGGCTTCTTACCAGACTTGGGGCTGTCGCGGTACATCTCAGAGACTGCCCCCGCGATCGATGTGATGCAGGCGATTCACTCCATCCGGAAAACTATGTTCGAGGATGTCCCTCAGCGGGCAGGGATGAGTAGCACCCGCATTGCCGAAGTGCTGAATCTCCGCCGGTCGATCCCCCCGCTTGCCTCTGTGGCCCACGTACATACGCTACTCGATGCGCCGACCAAAGTCGAAAAAGAAATCATGGAGTTGATCTCCATGGGCCGCGTACGACGCTTGATCGTGCCAGGAAGAGGCAGCGATGCTGCGGGCCTGGGTGATTGTCTGGTCCTCGCTGAAGAGTGGGATCAGCTGGTGCAAGACAATCCTATTTTGGAGGACTCGTTGAAAGGTACTGGCACTAGCTACTGCCTCTTAAACAAATGATGAAACAGACTTTGCTGACTGTGTCAACTGTTTTTCTCTAGAGAAATTCCGACGAGTCCTAAGTCGCATCGGAAATAACCCTGCCGTTCCTGGTAGCGTCTTCACGGTACCTGAATATATGGCCTTGATTCGCGCCGGGTTTCTTGTTTCCTCTTCGTCCTTAACCCAGGGCGCCTCGGGCGTCACGTCACTTCCTGCACTGCCGGCTAGCTCAGCTGTAGCTGCTGCGGCGAGCGACAATGCCGTGACTGAGCATAACACGTTCTTTCAAACCGCGACCCTTTTTCTTTCCTTACCGAACACGGGACCATATCTTCGTCTACTGGCTGCCAGCCGGTCCCACCTTCTTTCGCTTTTGAATCGGTCGGGTGCGCGGGAGGTGCCATTGTACCTTCTTCGCGACCGATGGGACGGAGCCGTCGAGAATGGTCAGAGCTTTAGCATTGCTAAGAGAATAAGGGGAGAGTTTGCGGGGATTCTACCCGGTCGTACGAAAAAGTGGAAGCAATTGTACGGGATGAGCTTCCGTTGGGCTCTTGAGGAAGCCCTTGGAGCCGGGCTTATTGAGCTTTTTGATACGGGCAGTGTTGGCCCGGGAGTGCGCAGTCTTTAATGGAGGACTGATGACATATTTGATTTTTGATACCCTTTGATGTTTATACGGTGTACTACGAGTAGGTGAGATGTCTCCTTAGCATGAGACCTATGACAATATATTGAACCCGCGCGAATATGTATGTATGTATCTCTCTTTCTCTCTCTTCTCCCACCCCCCTCCCCGCCCTCCGCGGGATGGTTGGTATGTAACCAGACAGCGACCGACACATATATAGATAGCAAGGGGAAGGTCCCCATCCAAGTTTTTCAAAGCTTGCTGTTTTTCGTTCTTGTTTCCTCCCTCATCTTCCCAAAATTACATTCTCTCCTCTCACTCCCCTATCGCTCATTGAAATTCCATTTTCATCATGTCACCACCATCATACATTCGTCTCCAGCCATCCTCCTTTTCCGTCTTACCGGACCATCCCTCTCTCACTCAGATGCCAACTCGACCACCTCTGCGCGACTTCCTCCACGACATTCTGACCGAAGCTCAGTCCTTCGTATCTGCCATTCCGACCACTTTCCATCCTACCCATAAACTACGCCGTTCACCCCCAGCTGCAGCCCCTGTCCTCCTCTCGACATGCTCGCTCCCCAAAGCCTGCTCCGGCACGGGTCCCAAGAAGGCAAAGAAGCAGCAGCAGCAGCAGCAGCAGCAACGCGGCTCTGAGTTTTGGATTTGTCGCACAAGCGTGCACGAGAACGCAGCCCGCGATGGCACCGCATCTTCGGCGGAGTTTCGTGCCGGGCTGAGGGAGAACCATTCCGCACATGAGATGGAGTACACGCCTAGCGTAACCGCCGTCGAGACATTGCTAGAGTGGCCACTACAGTCAGTGGTCGAAGGTGGGTGGCAGCGGGTGGAAACCCATGGTGAGTTAAGTCGTCCCCCTTGTTGTTGCAACCTGCCTGGCTGCAAACGACGCCTCTCACAGCGATCGCCTCGCCTGAATTTGCTTACTGAAATTGCGACCAGTAAATGTTATTACCCATACCTTCCATCCGAGGACTCTCATCGCCCCGCGCACCTTCATCGTTCTTGTCGTCTCCGCGGACCAACCGAGCGATCGGAGCGGCTTTGCTACCGTGCAAATCCCACTGTCTTCGACTGTGGAGCCGGCCGAGACCCTGTCAGACTTTCTCTTTGCTGTCACGGCCGCCCAGCCCCCAAATGCGATACTTGCCGCGTACGCGAGTGTCGAACAGGTGCTGTTCACTTCTTCCGAGACGGACACCGACGTTGTTACCTGGACAATGGCCACCACCTCTAATGCTGGCGGTGCCATCCCGAGCTGGGTGCAACGAAGCTGGACTCTGGGCGGAGCCCCAAAGGCTGTAGTGGCGGATGTTGGCTTGTTCATGAAATGGGTAGCCAGCAAAAGGTCATAAAAAGGCAAATATGATCATGCGCAGATCACATTCAGAAAGGTTGGGCTGAAGAACTGTATAGGCCTAACGGCACTGATTTACATTGGTCTGATCCTATATCTCTACCTTCCAAGCCTCATGGCCGATGATCTGGAGCCAGCAACGAAAAAAGAGAGCCACCGAAACAATCACGACGACCGCTTGAAGAGCCTGACTCACTACTCACAGCCTGTGGACTGGTAGGTTGTGGATGCACAAGTAGCATGGTCAAAAGAACCAACGCCCAATAAATAGAAGTCTTGAAGGAGGGCAATTTCCCGCAGTCAGTAGGGTGTAACATGGATGCGGCATCAGGTGTCGCTTGAGGTAAAGTCAAATAGAGTGAACAGTGAATCCATTCAAGGCCAAATCCCGGGATGGCCTGACTATTAGTCCAACCGGTGGCCACGAGCACGGAATGAAGCATATGGCAACAAATTACTAAGGATACAGGAACGAGAAAAAGCCCGGTGTTGCCGGGGATGCTAATGGCAAGCTGAAAGGCAAATTCGAAGGGAAAAAATGAGACCCACCTGACAGCGGGTCTACACACGGCAATGGGATACTGTTCATTAACGGCGTCCAGGTTTTGAGTTCGGGAAGACGAAGAGAGAAGTAAGAAGAGTATGGGATGAGCATAACAGGATTGGCAGTCCGGTAGGAGATCAAGGTATATGACTTCCGACACAATTGCCGGGTATTATGAGGAATATGGGCAGCGTTGAATTCGTGGTCAACAAGAGAAAGGTGGGGGCGAGGACCAGTTTTGGGGTGGGGTCTAAGCACTAGACAAAAGAGACATGACCAGAGAGCAAGAGATGTATAGTAGGCAGCGGGCCGAGGGGATGCAATCTGAAAGAATGGAGAAAATCGTTCAGCGTGGTCCAGCAGTGACACTACCGGACTCTGGCTGAGATGGCGGCACGCTGGGGGTTGCTAATGCATTAACATTGGCTGACGCCAATTGTACCCTTAGCGAAGCAACTTCTGCTTTCAGACCGTTCAACTCCTCATGGACAGAGCGAATATATGCCCAGAGCTTTTCTTCTCTGTCACGACTCTGCTCGAGATAAATGGCTTCATGAGAGCCGGGCAGCTGACTGCCATTGTTCAAAGCTGCTTCCGGTCCTGGTTTCGAGGTCAATGGCCCGCTGTGATTGCTTGAATGACTGTGGGAAGGGGTATGTTTGGTGCCAGTCGAGGCAGGCGGAGGCCCAGATCCCTGTGAATGAAGCGCAAACCGGGATTCAGAAGAGCTTAAGCCAAGAGGCGGGGGCAGCTGGGGGGCAGACGGTTGAGGAGGGGGAAGGCCCAGCCCTGAAGCCGCTGAGGGACCAGCCCTGCTGTACGGTTGTTGCCCTTGTTGCTGAAAAGATTGAGAAAGACCAGGCGAATGAGCGCGGTGCAGCTGGGCATTATTCTCCGGATTGTGACCGAGTTGGTGAGACGATAAAGCATTGGGAGAAAGTGGCTTAGGGCTTTCAGTTATATTGGTGGGGAATGCAGACGAGCCCGATGGCTGACCGGAGGGTGGGAACGCGATGTTGGCCGACTGCGAGATCGGCGAGGTCGACGCGCTTGAGCCACCGTGGCTAGGTGGCGGAAAAAGACCCCCTGGAGATGGTCTGCCGGATGCAATGGGGGGATACGTGCTCGGCTGGCGCGACGGGTAACTCGGCGCAGTATTAGCTCGAGAAATCGATTCTGTTGGTAAATCGTGCTTCTTGATACTAGGCATATTGAGCCGCCGTTCTTCTTCCTCATCCATACGCTCCGGTTCAGCATATACAAGCCCATCCATGGTGTCATCCGCCGCCCCGGCAGCTGTAGCGTCGCCGTATTCATCCTCAGGAGCATAGCTTCCCATACTGGCACGACGACCGGCGCAGCCCCCTTGGCCTTTGTTGTGGCGAGCTAACGCGTCCCCGCGAGCAAACCTGCGCCCACATTTGGGACAGATGTGTGGCCGTTCACCGGTATGTAATTTGGTATGTCTCTTGAGATCATGAAGTCGGCGAAAGCGTGATTGACAGGTCTGACAAACATAAGGCTTCTCCTGGCTATGGGTGAGAAGGTGGCTTTTAAGATTATGATGCCTTGTGAATTCTGTCGAGCAATAAGGGCAACGGTGCTTCTTTGCCGACGGTGACCGCTGGCCTTTGTGAAAGCCAGAATTGGGTAGGCTTAGGCCACGGCGAGGGTCGTTTAAGCTGGCTGTGGGCATTGGGTATGAAAAGGCCTTATTTCCTGGTTCTTGAGAAAGTCCCTCTCGATGGCGAGGATGTTCTCCATCATGAGAGGCCGAGTCCTCGATTGGACCAGGACTGGCTACTGTTGAGGTAGTCATCAGGGTCGGGTTATTTTCGGCTGTGCCGAAGGCATTAGGCGCATTTCCCGGGGCTGGATTCGAATCTACCTGCATTTGATCTGAGGACAAAGGTATGCAATCTGGCGCCGAGCTATCCTGCTGCTTTTCGCTGGCGCCGAGTGCCTCCCTCGCGACTTGCGAATTGTGCTGCTCTGATCCCTTCTCCTGTTCGAGTGGTCGGTCCATCGAACCGGAAACTGAACTAGCGGTCGTCATTGGCGGTAATAATTCTCTTGAGCGAGAGACGTTCAATCCGGCGCTGGCGATAGACGTCAGGCTGGAATCAGGCCTCGGTTGTTTGAAGAAGGCGATCGACTCCGACGAGGTCGATAGGATCGGAGCGGACGAGCCGGGCAGTGGGGCAGAGATGGAGACAGGTTCGTTGTTCGATTGTATCAACGCAGCCATCGATAATAATTACTTCCCGCCAGCGTGAGGGGTTTGGCGAGAGTATGTTGCTAACTCGGCAAAATTGTTGTCAGTGTGTTCAGTCAGTGTCTTCAGGAACCAAACATGGGGAGAGTCAATGACAAGCGACTGGAATTAATGAGAGATACGAAGCGTGATGAAGTATGACACGATGTGCGAAGAGGGCAGGTACTCGATAGAGGAGAGAAGTCCAAGAAATGCATGATGTCCTGCTGGAGGAGGGAGGAGGAGGCGCTGTCGCGTGGGGCGCTCACCTAGGTCGAACCGAGTGTGGCGCAAGCTGACGAGACGTCCAATTCAGCCTTCGCGCAATGTTCTGCTGGACAGTCGAGTCGTACACATTCAACAGCCGAGACCAGGGTCAGGTGTTGCAGCTTGTTAATTTCTTCTTTTTTTTAAAGAGAAAAAAACGAAAAAGAATAATAATCAGATAAAAAGTCTGAATGGACTCCCCCGCATGGAAAGGGTCCAGAAGCAGCGAGCGACCTTTACAATCAGAGGATGAAGATGTCTGATTCTAGCGTCCGGACCTGAGTAAGAAGCGGGCCGGGATGTTGTTAGTTCATCTGGCAAAAGCCCGTCTGAAGGCCTCGAGGGAAATAGTACGGCTGCAGGGAGAAAGCTAAAACCCGCACTTGTCAAAACAAGAATGTTGACGAACAGTCACAGTCATGCAAAATATATGTTCAAAAAGAAATGTGGTTCAGGCACAAGGTGACACCTGCCCAGTAGTTTAGAATAAGCGGACCGAACAAGGAGAAAGAAGCAGAGGGGTTTGGGGAGCCGGGGAGAGGTCCCGTCTAGAAGAGGGAAAGAGAAAGAGGAGTTGAAGGACCTCTTGGAGGGGTCAAATGTGTGGCTGACAAGAAGAGCGGAACAAACAAACGGTTTCAACGCACAATTTTGTCAAGAAGGGTAGAGG